TTTTTTCTTGTAAATCTGTTTTAGTTCTTTGTAAATTCTGGATATCAGCCCTTTGTCAGATGGGTAAACTGCAAAAATTTTTTCCCATTCGGTTGGTTGCCGATTCACTCTAATGACTGTTTCTTTTGCCATGCAGAAGCTGTGGAGTTTGATTAGATCCCATTTGTCTATTTTGACTTTTGTTGTCAATGCAAGGACTTCATGACCGAAACGTATTTCTTACTTAGGTTGTATGTGGTGGTGCTGTGTTCCGGTGTGAAACGTATTTCTTACTTAGGTTGTATGTGGTGGTGCCGTGTCCTGGTGTGAAATGTATTTCTTACTTAGGTTGTCATCTGAAAATTTTGAAAGCCATTGCCATTAAAACATAAAAGGGATCGAGTGGAGCCTTGAGCATAGGGCCAGATTAAAGGTCACCCTTGGCTTTGGGGGGATTTGGGGGACTGATAAGACCCCAAGAAGAAAGTACTCCTTGGAGATGTGAGTTGTACCAGCAGCTTCACACATCTGCCACTGTGCACCGTGACACCCTTGCACACCCTTTTGGAGCCCGGTCACAACGTGCAGTGGCAGGTGTGTGAAGCTGCATGTATACCCTTTTGGAGCGTGGTTGCAGTGTGCAGTGGCGGGAGTGTGAAGCTGCTTGCATGCTCTCAGGTATGCCCCTGTCATGCTGTCCTGGTGGCTTTTCTTCCTCAGGTCTCAGTAGTCTGGCCACCCCCTGGGTGACCATGGGTCCCACTGTTTTTTAAAGATTCCACATCTAACACTCAACAGTTGGGATTGAGTAAAGGAAAATACTACTGTAATACTTCCTGGGGTTCTGGTTTTTGAAAAGAAAGTAAGTATAGGGCCCAAAGATTGAAAGGTGGTTTGAAACATAGGGTGAAATTTCGGATCCATTTTAAGTGTTACTGAGAATCAGTGTGGTTCCACCAACAAGAAAATGCCATATGCATTGTGTTTCTCCCTGTGCCTTGCCCCTAATAGGAGCTGCTCCGAAACCTACCGCATGCCAGTTATGGAGTACAAAATGAACGAAGGTGTTTCATACGAGTTCAAGTTTCCCTTCCGAAATAATAACAAATGGCAGAGGAACGCCAACAAGGGGCCTCATTCACCTCAAGTCCCATCCCAGGTGCAGAGTCCCATGACCTCACGGCTGAATGCTGGAAAAGGAGATGGGAAGATACCTCCTCCAGAAAGAGCCGCCAACATCCCTCGAAGCATCTCCAGTGACGGGCGCCCACTAGAGAGGCGGTAAGTGTGCCTTCAAAGGTTTGCTCTACATCTCTGTCCCAAATGTAAGTAACACAGACCCATAAGCTATAGTTTTAGGCCTTCTCATATTTTACTAGAAATGAAGAATTAAACTGAGGTGCATACCATAGTGGCTTTCAAAGCATATACTGTTCCAAAGCCATAGGGATAAACAGAGATCGATTCTAGCAAAGCCTTCAGCTCTGCACACTGGCGTTTTGCTTTGCTCTTTAATTTCCATATGAGGATCAATAGATGTCATTACTACATGCTTAGTGGCCCTGTGGATTAGAATTTGGCAACTCTTTGAGGTGACAGTGACCATATAAGAACAACAGAGTGCAGGTTTTTGGTTGAATATCTGTGTTAGTGTCACTTTATTAATAAAGGATTATGGGAAGGAAACCTAGTATAATACAAACATTTTTCACTACTCTGAAAATAGGAAAGAATAGTGAGGAGAAGATGATACACATGAAGGTAAGTTAAAACACTTAGTCCTGAGTAAAATACGCCAAAGGGAAAGGGACCAAGGGATCCTGGAAAGTAAGAACCCAAAGGTTGTGGTTTAATTGAAAGCCATAGAGGGTTCCCTTGTAAGAGGTAATGGGTTAACTCTGCCTTTACAAGGATGCCCCAGCACTTTTGTCTGGAGTTAACAGTAAACTGCAGCATTTTGAACTAGAGTCCAGGCCTAAAATTAAACTAGATTAAGTACTTTTAAAATGGGAATAGAAGTTGTCTATATAGATTATAGGTAATTGCACTGTAAATTTGGTTACCTTGAATCATGTACACTAAAGGAGGAGATAGTTTAATTGAATAATCTGTTCATCATCTGCTAGAAATCAACTTTTTTTTTTTTTTTTTGAGGCTAAGTCTCACTCTGTCGCCCAGACTAGAGTGCAGTGGTGCGGTCTCAGCTCACTGCAACTTCCGCCTCCCAGGTTCAGGTGATTCTCCTGCCTCAGTCACCCAAGTAGCTGGAATTACAGGCATGAGCCACCACACCTGGCCTAGAAGTCAACTTCTTTCTGTCCATCCACTGTCCTTTCCACATCTCTTCTGCTTGCCTTGATCACATCTCCGAATGTTCTTGTGAAAACCCTTAGAGCTAGGGAAAAGTCTCTATTCCGGGAACTGTGTTGGGGAGAAGGGAGGGTCGAAGTGGAAGCTGTAACTTGAGCCTGACTCATCTGAGCGGCAAGAACCAGGTCTGGCAGGAGCAGGATGCCATGGAAAACGGTTCCCACATACATGTTAATCATCACCACTCCAGTTTGAGAGCAGAGAGCAGGAAGCTTTAGAAATCATACTATGAAGTCTTTATCTTAGTCTGACTTTTGAGCTGTTGCATAAAACTTTGCCACTTAACTATTTTAGCTTACTAGGATACTGTATAGAAATTTAATAAAAACAGACAAATAAAATTTAATTACAATAGACAAACCAAAAAATAGTCATCTTTCTACAGTTTCTCATTTCATCCTGGAACTCTATTTCCAGAGCCTTGCTATTTATCTCAATAAAAGTTTCCTCTCCCAGAGTGGCCCTATTACCATCTGGATTCCTCTCTCTTTACTTATTTTTGAGGAGGAAAACATCCAAGAGACCTCTGAGTAAATTCTTTGTTCGACATATTCCAGACTTGGCTGCCTCTGAGGGGTGTGCTAACTGGAATTTATGTTTTGGCCCACAATTTGAAAGATGAACCCAGGAAATCATTGTGTAGAGAAGGACCTTTTTCCCCCCCTCTGTGCTGTTTTCTTTCTCTCCAGAACAATCAGCAGGCTTTCACAAGTGAAATTGGTTTTGTGTCATTTCCTTTATACAATATTACATTTGAGAATGTGTTTTGATTCCATGTTGAATTTAATTTCTGTACCAGAAACTGAAGCTCCTTGCCGGTCATACTGACCTTCAAAAAGGAAAAAATTTTTTGTAGCTGAGTATCATATTTTGATGGGAGCAGTTTTTAGCGCTAGAGAATGCAGAGCTCCATTTTTTCCAGATGTAGATCCTTGAGTTCTAGAGGTAATTTCTGTGTATACTCGTGTCTGCCTTTCATCTTTACTTTACCCATAGGAAAATACATCTCATCAAGTGCTCCTTCTAGAAAACTGTTAAAGTAGTTTGTAAGGCTCCAAGCTGCAGAGTTGAAAGGGCTGTAGGTGGGGCTGACAAGGTTTTCAGGAAAATTTAACCTCTACTCACTGCCCCCTTAGTCTCTGATATATGTTAAGTACACTAGTCTAGGATTTCAGATATTAGGATGCAGGGCTTAGATGACTTGTGAGATCTCAGTCCTGAATTTCCAGGATATTAAGATGATTTGGCTCATCTTCATTTTGAAATATATGGTAATTGGTTGGATATTCTTCTTCTTTGAAAATTTGAAGTTTAGTTTCTTACCACATCATTCCTAATTTTTAATAAAAATATCTTTTTAAGTTTTTAATTTTGAGGCATAAAGAGAAGGTACAGTAAGTTAAATATCCTAATCCAAAAATCTGAAATCCATAGTACTACAGAATCCAAAACTTTTTGAGCACTGACATGATACTGAAAGGAAGTGCCCATTGGAGGATTTCAGATTTTCGGATTAGGGATGCTCAACTTCAGGTGTAATGCAAATATTTCAAAATCCAAAAATATCCCAAATCCAGAACGTTTCTGGTCCAGATAATTTGGGATAAGAGTTACTCAACCCATGTTTCAGAACTTTGTTTTGCTACTGTGACTCCAGGAGTATTTGAGGATAGAGCAGATTCATGATTTTTATCGGGAATAGCTTCCAGAGTCCTTCTTGAGTCCCCGGATACATAAAGTTCACTTCAGAATATAATTTTCTCCATGAAATTTAGTAAAATGTAACTGAAAAATTTAAGTGTACCCTTTCTAGTCCTACTGAGAACAAAATATCTTATTGAGATCTAGAAGTGAGGAGTACCAGGGTACCCCTCATCCATCTGACTCTCCCTGTGTCAGTGCCATCCTGAGTGGCATTTACATTTGTACCTAGGAAACTCACCAAGTATGATTTGGGCCTTTCAGAGGAATCATAAATCATGAAAACAAATCTCAGGGTCTCCCGCACCTGGAATCTTACCCTACCGGTAATGGCATGGCCTAATACTTATGGTTGTTCCTTGCATTCATTTTTTTCTCCCCCAGTTAGGGGAATTGTGTTTGACCATAGAGAAACCAGCTATACTTACGCTTAGGTTAGCAGCCATCTCAAGTCTATTCTGCCGGCCAGTGCTCCCTAAATCTGCCCACTTAAGTCACCATGGCTGGATCCAACACAGTCTGTTTTGGGTGAAAACACTAATTTCCTGCTTGTAGAAGCATAGTTTTTCTTTAATTTGTGTGTAATATCCCAGACCTAAAGGGCGTTAGGAACAACAACAACAAAAAAAACTGTGGAATATTTTTCCTTTAATATCAAGGTCAGGATTTTTATGACATACTGAAGTATGTTGGTGTTTTGAGTTTTAATAAAAATTCTTCAGTTGGATGATGTTCTCTATACATAGTTAAGAGAAACTGACATAGTAAGAACTGGTGATCCATTTGCCATCTAAATAAAGTCTAATTTCTATTTGGTTTGAATATATGAGTTTTATGTTCTTCAGGTGGCTTTCTGATTACAGAATTTTACAGTATTTGTGGAAGTAGTATTTATTAACAGAATTAACATTCATTCAACAGAAATAGGTAATATGATACAATCACTATTTTGGCCTCAAATTTACCTAGAGCTTAAGGGTGGGATTGAAATGAAAATTACTGGCTGTGGCACACTGAATTTGATACATTACTGTCTTTAAACATAATGGGGGATCAGCAATAAAACCCTGACCTGTGTTAATATGCTTATAAAAGTTGAGCTATTTGAGGGGCTTTAGATAAACAACAGACATCTCAGCATTTAAAATGAGTTTCTTTTCTCCTTTTTTAGGCTGATATTACCAGCCTTTATGTAAATATTTGATGTTAGAACTCACTGAACACTTACTTGGTACTTCCGAGTTTTACCTGGATGTCATTGTCACTCCACTTGAGTCCTCTGCACGTAACTCTAAGAAGCTGGACAGGGGCCTTTTTTGTTTTTGCAGTTATGACAGCCACATCTGCAGCCTCCCTTCCTCCTTGCTTACAGACTCCAGCACCATATAGGGTATGAGTATCATGGAAACAAACTGAAAAAACCTCTCAGAGAGCGTAATAGCCATATGACCATTCAGTCTTGATTTTTAAGGAAATACTTTCTATGTTTGTTATTTCATATAGATTCTAAGCTAATCTTCCACTGTGTCATTTTCTGCTTTCAAACAAAACAAGCACCATTTAACGTTTAATCTTCTTTTATTTCGAATGTTAGCTGTGGTTAGAAACTTCAGGACTTGTGTTTTCCAAATATTGCCCCTTTTGATCACAGCTTCGTGCCTAGTCATGAGGATCCTGAAATCATGAGAATTTTGAACTTCCCTGGGATTGCTCCAGCTGGGTCCCCATTGCCCATTGACTTCAGTATTTCCTTTCATTTCTTTTTTCTTTTCTTTTCTTTTCTTTTTTTTTTTTTTAAGACAGGGTCTCACCCTGTCACTCAGACTGGAATGCAGTGGCATTGATCTTAGCTCACCGTCAATTCAAACTCCTGGGCTCAAGCCGCCCTCCCACCTCAACCTCCTGAGTAACTATCACTGCAGGTGCATGCCACCACACCCAGCTAATGTTTTAAAAATATTTTTTATAGAGACAGTGTCTCACTGTGTTGCCCAGACTAGTTGTAAACTCCTAGCCTTAAGTGATCCTCCCTCCTCAACCTCCCAAAGTGCTGGGATTGCAGATGAGACCCACTGCACCCAGCTGACTTCCACATTTCTAAAGCTTCTGGATGGTGTTAGGTCCTTAGCTTATTTGATACCATTCACTACTCCCTCCTCCTTCAAATTCCATTTCCTTGTCTTCCAAAATTTTTCCTGATTTTTTTGTAT